AATTTACTTTCGTCAATGGTTTTTTGGTTTTTTGATATGTCCAAGAGCAAAATGCTGCATTCAAAACTCCCCCCTCCACGGCGTACCTTTCTGTAACTATAAGATCAAAAATAATATGAACAGATGTAATTATAAAAAATACAAGACTACAGATGTAAGTAAAACACACAAAACTACATGAGTGGTCAAAACGGAGCCCCACAGCGTCCCTTTCTGAAAGTTAAACACGTGGTGCACCGACGTGCTCAATGATAACAAGCAAAAGAGACCCAGCAACGCCCCTTTTACTTGAGCCAAATTAGAACGTGCGAGCGCCGTCACTTGACTCTCCTAAAGATTGTACAGAGTCATGGTCTATGCAGAAACTGTACGTGTTCATTTAACTCCCCCTTTTTGGGTGTTTCGTGAGACGCCGCTTCGGGGATAAATCCTAGATCGACTGTTCTTGCTCTCTCTCTCTCTCTCTCTCTCTCTCTCTCACTCTCCACAAGTGTGGCTACCGTACAGTCACCCGCCCACACGCAAAAACGGAGTATCGGTATACACGACGTAGTCGTAGGTACTGGCTTTGGAAGCAGCTTCTGTTCCGCAAGGCACGCCGATGTGGAAGACTCATGCTCTAGATATCTTTTGATGCACAGAGCTGGAAATCACAACGTCTGACCACCAAACACTCTAAGCCTGTGCATCTGCGCCCGAGAAGTGTGTGATCCCCGTTGTAAACTCCGTTCTCCTACTTTTCAGATGTACGGCGGATCGTATGATACTACTGCAAACAGACTTTACACACCGAGGAGTGTCAAAGTAAACTGCCTTTGTTTCGACCAACAAAGCCGCGAACTGTAATGCTACACTACTGTGCCTTTCAAGCCCTAGAGTCCCCAGAGCGTGAAGTCCTTGACCAGTCAAGCTCTGACCCTGAGTTCCAGGCTACTGTAGAGCCGCTTCACCTTGGCGGCTGCGTTCAACTTACTTCGACTCGATCTCGGCGATCCCCAAATCGCAGCTCGAAAGGATCCCTGGCCCCGGCATGGGCTTGGCTAAGAGGGAAGCTGCTAGCCCAAGTGGCCACATCTCCGAGACCGGGTCGCAGAACGACGTGCGCCGGGTGGCCTGATTGACACTCACATCCACAGAAGCCTTTTGTGCTTGGGGCTTTCTGAAATATGAGCCTTCTGTCCACTCTTCGTCTGTCTAACGACCTGACATCTCCCTCAACGTGTGATGGCGCAACGCACACTCCTCAGCTTCCAAGAACAAGAACTGCCAAAGACCCTGAACTCGTCTGTCGCAGGGCCTGTGATGGGTGCTGCGAGAGTGTTCGGTACTGCTCGTAGCCGGACAGGGTTTTCCGCCTCCATCACTGGCTTTCGATGCTGGGCTTGATTATGAGTTATGGAATCCTTCCAAACAGTGGCGAAGCAGAATCCAACCTGTCTCCGAGTCAACAGAGCCAGAAGCCCACGCTGCCCACACATGCGGCCACGAGCCCTAGTACAGATTCCAAAGTACCGTACACTAAACCAAAAATCCACGCAATTCTGATGACCGTGCCCCCGCTGCATTCGATTCGCTTCTGCACCTGACTGCGACGCATAGCTATCATTGCTGCAGCAGCAGAAGCCGCAACCACTGCAAGGCCTGCGTGCATTTTGTCTCGGGTTTGAGAGGCGTCTCTCGCGACTGGGGAACTCTCAGAGGTAAGCGAGATCTGGGCTCAGGGGAGGCAATTCGAAACTTCCCTGAAAGCAAACCCTCCGAGACCTTTAGCGAACCAGCAGGCGTGAGTTGTCACCAATAACAGTGAACTCACTGGGAATGTCTCATGACAAATCTCTGAGGCTCCCCTGAAAGGAATTCACACCTCCGCTTCGGTGCACAGGCTCAGCCGCGGCTGCAGCTGGAAGCCGCGCTGGAGTCACCCTGAGGTCTAGGGGAAACTCGGGGAAAATTCGGCTTTGGTATTTTCTTGTCGGAGGCGGGCGCCAAGGCTTAGTACGGGGCCTGCAGTACGTCGCTTGATGTTTCCAGTCGATGGTGTCCAGCTACACCGCATTCGGAGGTCACAGCCATTGGCGTGTTGATCCACAGCTCTGCAACTGGAAGGCACGGTTTCGCCGACACACAACGCTGCGCTCCTGCTGCATGCAACAAAAACGCGACCGCGTTTGACCTCATCAACAAATCCAGGTCGCCTCTGAAATTACCCTCTCGCAAAATTGTGTTGCTGTCTTGTGACTTCAGCCCTCGAACTGTACTTGGGTCATTCTGACATCACATGTCACGGGCCTGCCTGACGCTCACATCTGGAACGAAAACTGCACTTCTGGCATGTTCTGAAACTTTCGCATGGTTTCCCTAGCATTTAAACAGCTCGTGAGAGCTTTCCATCTGCTCTAAGACTCCAGCAGCCTGTAAAGCCCTGAGACTCTGCAGCGCCTCGCCCCAGTTACTGCTGCGAAAGCGGGCAAGGTTGCTGCAGTGGCCACCGCAGCCACCAAAGCCTCGGATGTCTCGAGCCTTCCAGCTTTCTTGATCCCACAAACAAGCAGATAAAGCCCGACGAAAGCAACTATAAAGCTGCACCGACAAACAGCTTCCCTGTTCCTGGCGTCCCGGCACAGCTGCCTGGAGAGCGCTGCAGCCTGCAGCCTGCCACCCTGCGATGCTCAGCTGGGTACTTGGGGGGTTTGTGAAAATGTAGAACCCGCGGGCACGTACTTTCCCATCGCAACACTTGCAGTCCGAAGCATCACTTCCTGAGAGAATCGGAGCCTTGTGCAAGCATCACCGCGGTATGCCCGCGACATCTAATCGGCAGAAACAGGGAGTCCGATCACAGTCAACGAACTCTTTTGGGCATTACGGGCTCAGGAGTTCAATGAGGTCATCTTAGCTTTACTTCAGACGTGTTGAGACAGGATCGAAAGAGCCGGGCCGAATCTTTTGCCCTTGGCCGTTTATGCGAGCTAAGCAGCTGCACCATGGGCAGCAGGCTTTTGATGGCTGGTGAAGGTTTCCTCATGCTCCGCATGAAACACCTCCGTGCATTCACGTCATGCTTCTGTCTTGGACTTGGGCCAGTCCTTGCGGAAGGCGCAGTGTTGACTGGGGTCGGAGGCATACACAGATGGCAGGGTGCTGCTGCGCCCAATGCGGCCAAAATCCAAATCCAAAGCTTACATTAAGTCTGTCCGAGGACTGAGTCAATCGGCACAGCGGGGGCGCTGCCGTCTTGATGCAAGCTGGCGCAGTGTTACTTTGACCGTTGACCTCGCCTTTTCTCTTTAGTGGATCAGGCTTCGGCTTGGAGGTCCTGGCCGCTGCTAGCCTTATGTAGAACGATTTCACAGCTAACCTGAACCCTTAAAGCCTTATACTAACATCTCGGTGTTGCCCACAAGTTATTCGCTTGAATCAACAGTTGAGGGCCTGAGGGCTTCAAGGTTGGTCAGCTGCGGTTAGCTCTGAATTGGCTGGTAAGGAAACCCAAAACCCATGTAAGAGGAGCGACGATCTTCAGGCCGACCCTCACAAGTGCCTGGTGTCCTGTTTCCACGTCAGAACCAACGCGGGGTAACGATCATAGGGACGCCCAGAAGGGGATGTGCGCAGCGTAAGGTGGCAGCTTCCCTTTTTTTTCGCACACGCAGAGCACTACCGTTGCTCTTGGCTGAAAATGGGTCTTGCTCTTCAAAACTCTCATTCAAGAGGAGAGAAGCAGCTCTGTCGAGGATTTCGAGTCGAACCTGCGAGGGCTAGCAGGCCGATCTGTCACCGAGAAAGAGACCCAAAAGCTGACCTGTCAAAATATCTGAGTTGTCAAAGGGCCGTATGTTCAATCCTCTAAAACCTCTTCGAACTGTAGAACTCCATCATTCTAATTGCTAAGTCCGATCACAAGACGAGAGAGAGCAGGTCAGCGGAGTGCGTTGGCCGTGCTGGGTTGAGGGACTTCCCCGGACCCGGGTCGACGGCTGGTTCAGGCCGCTCAGACGGTCGCCTGCTCTGACTCGGCCTCTTTCGCGCCTGGCACACTGAAGCTTCGTTTGGCCCAGAAGACTCAAATACATCCGAGGCCAAAAAGATCCTCAAGGGCACGATGTTGATGCCAACATATCTTCCAAAGTATACTACAACATCCGTCTCTTCTTAACCAATTCGACTTTCACGTGTCGGGTCACATAGCATCATTGCAGCTACCCTTCAAGCTACCAATAATATGTAAACGAGTAGTCTACTGTTCAAGTAACTGGAGCCCTCGGGTGTATGTAAAAAAGACGCGGAGGAGTGGCGTCTCTCTGCTGCGGCCACGGCTTTTCGGACATCGACCCTCATCTTGTCCACCGTGTTCACGTCAATCCTGCGTTAGGCTGTAAGGCAGAGGTCTGACTCAGTAGACAAAAATTATCCCCGGTTCAGGCGCCTAGACTGACTGGGGCTGAACCCGCGGGCAGGTCACTATAGTATCCTTGAGCCCAGCTGCATGTAGAAGCCCAGATACCTATGTAGCAGGTTGCCGTGCTTTTGTTGACCCTACTTTCGTAATCCATGACACAGGTAAGCGGAAAGCCCAAACCCTGAAGCCCTCAACCTTCCATCCTGTCACCCGAGCTCCATTCGATCCTCTGCTTCTTCAGGCGGTAGGCAACCTTCGCGAAGATCGGGTCGCGCATCAGGCCCTTCAGCTTGGTGCCCTGCTGCACAGACTCTCACTCGGTTCTTGGCGCAGTGACATTTCGAGTCCCTGACAGGCAGCCCGGTTCCGCTGCACTTCTGGCAGACCAGCTCACCCACTCCGTTACACTCTGGGCCTCAGAGATTTCTTCGTTGCTTGCGTGCCGAGTGAAACTGACTTTTTGACGGCTGTACCCCGTTTTGAATATTGAAATCCAACAGCCTCAAAGAGGTAAGCCGGGCTACGGGACCTGTCTTTGGTTCAAATCAAACAGCCCTCAGTCTCAACCCTGCGCAGTGACACGAGTCCAAAGCCCTCATTCAAGCAAAAGCAAGGACAATGTGCGACGAGATCCGGGCAGGTGAGGTACTGGCGCTGGGAAGTTTCTGCAAGCGGAGGGGAGGCTCAGCTGTGTTCCACAGGATCCCAGATGGTGTAGGGTGAGATTGGCGACTGCCTGCGTCTGCCGGTGCTCGGGCTCTATATGGAGCTTTGTTGACTAGGGCCGGAAGTTTGATGAGAGCAGCAGACCAACGATCAAGTGCATGCACTGCATAGGTGTAAAGATAAAACGGACTCGGTTCAAGGTCATCCGCAGCCGTGCTGCATCCGGCCTGGACTTGTCACCCGAATCCCAGAAACCGTAATGCAGATTATGCGCTAGGGGCCACAAAATGAACGTGCAAACCACCGGCTTTCTGACCTGACCTGAACCGGGATCCGCCAGTTTGAAAGCGTTTCTCGCACGCTTCTGAAAGTCAACACCTGCTTTCTGGGGAGTCCACTCTCGTACTTCGTCCCCCACCTTGGCTCGAGGAAGCTTCCAGCGAGAGCTGGACGTTCCGGGAGGATTTGCGGACTCGCACAAGGCCGCTTGTGAACATCGCAACGACTCCACGGTGTGCAACCTTGACGGCAAAGCACAACCTGCTGATAAAGCAATATACCTTCACGAAGGCCTTAAAAAGTATGTTCCTTCTCAAAAAACAAAAGGGGGGGACAGTTCGCGGAGCCGAGCTGAGAGCCCGGCAGGCGGTACTGGCCGGTACCGTCGCACATCGGACCTCGGAGCGAGGCGAGCGCAGTGCGTGCCTAAGTTTGGAGCTTTGCAAGCGCCAAAAACATCAAGAAGCCAGGCGCCGCACAGGGGACCAGCCCTTTGCCCTCCTGGAGTATGAGCGGCCAGCATGTGTCAAGCATTCATTTGACTGGAGCATGCCGCAGCTGTAGCGGACAACTGCTTCGCGGTCAGGGCTTTGGGTTGCTGCGTTGAGAGCCAGAGCTTTCAGATGTTTTTAGGTTTAGGACTGGGACATGCAAATCCTACGGGAAAGCTTCCATGCAGCTCAGGTCGGTACGCATTCATGGCACACATCTGATGTTTCAGCTTCAGCTGACGCAGCAAGTGGTGTGGCCTCAAGCGCCGGGAATGGAGTCGTGCTGTGGAACTTCAGGGCTGACGAGCGTGTTCCACGTACCAAACATTTACACTAGCGTTAAAGCGGCTCATCAGGTTATCGCAGGTCACCAGTATGAGGCCCGATTAACTTTAGGTGCTCTCTGTGTGGAAGAATCATAATCGTCATCAGCAGCTTTGGCTTTCCCGCCCTTGCACATCAGTTCTTGAGACTGAAAGTGCACCACCGCCAGTGCTGAAGAGGTACTTAACTTACCTAGCTGGTTTAGATTTCAAGTTATGCCCGCCGAGCCGGACCCAATCTCGGGCCTTGCAGCACGGCCGCTGTCCAAACAACCAGACCATGTGATACGCGAAAACCCAGGCTCGACCCAAGTTGGAGGTGACCTTGTGTGCAGGTGTTTTCCGTCGCCGGTAGATGCGATGTTTTCTTCTGGATCTGCCACTTCGTGCCGCTGATTTTCCGCAGTCGGCTTGGCCGGGTACTGCAAGAAGAATTATGTTCACCATTTCATGCATTGCTTCCGCATTGCAGCCTGGAGCAACAGGTACATGTCCAACGCAAAGACTCGCAGTCTTAAAAAGTAATACCACGGGTCACAGGGCGATGCCTGCCCCGATCTTGAAAAGAAAATAAGGACTGGAGACCAGTGTTGGACACTGGACCGCAGTCTCTATTGCACTTGCAGAGTCTTGCAGATCTCATGCCAACACACCGATGGCCGTTTGCTTCGTCCAAACTCTTGAATCGCACGTTCACGGAGGGTCCAGTCGTGTGCCCAGGCAGGAGGGGCAAGCAAATCCACAACAGCTGGAGCAGCCCTCCGTAATTGGCTCAGGCACCTTATGCCTTAGCACGCCTAGACCCGAACAAAATAAGGTTCGTCGCACCCGTCCACCCAACGACAGGGCCCTCAACTCCACTAGCTAGACGTACATCACCTGCATCCGCATGTGCTCAAGACAATGCCCTATGCCGCGAGGACTGCAAAGCATCCAAGCTGAAAGACGATTGGATGTACTTGCAGTTGCCTCTTGAATCGCAAACTGAGAACATATTGTAGGGAGGCAAGCAGCAGTCGGATCTTAGGAGGATAGTTGCGGGTCTCCATGTAGCTGCGCGACCAAAAGCTTTGCTAGCTAAGTTCTCACCGCTGAGGCTGTTCTAGCGTACCCCTCCCTCATCTGTCCATCTGTGGGAATGAACACAGGCCCGATGGTTTCTACTGCCTGCTTATGCTTCAAGCTTAGGCTGGGCAAACAAACGTAGTACAATGCTGGGATTTATACATTGAATCGCTGCGCCCCCCCAGTTGCTTCGAAAAGTTCAAGAAAGCGGGCGTGCTTGAACTCTGTGCCCCACTGTCCATGTGTTCTCCATTGCGGTCATTAGCCCTGCATAGCTGGTCAGCTCTTCACTGATACCTCTACTATCACTTCGCTGCTTCTTGGTGCGACAATGCATACGTGCTGCGACACTGTACCTTACCTGCATTGCCACCACCGCAGAAAACTTGCACACGATGCGGTGTGTATGTGTGCAGGAGGAAACACACATCCAAGCAAACAAACGTGTGCATGCAGCCGGGATGCAAAGAAGATGACACACACAAACGCAAACACGCAAACACACAAAGACACAATCAATCAACCAACCGACCAACCAACCAAGCAACCACGCAAGTAAGCAAGCAAACAAACATACCAACACACAAGTACAAAAGCTCACAAATAAACAAACATACAAGCAAACAAGCAAGCAAACAAACACACACACACACACAGACCAACAAAGCAACCAAGCAACCAACCAACCCACCAACCCACTAGCAAGCCAACAAACCAAAAAAACAACAAAACAGCAAACCCAACCCAACCCAACCCGACACAACCCAACCAACCGACCAACCAACCTTGCCTGCCTGCCTTCCTGCCTACCTGCCTGGCTGCCTGCCGGCCAACGTAACGAACAAACCAACAAACAAACAAACCTACACAAACGCGTAAGCCAAAAACAAACACACACACACACACAGACACACACACAGACACACACAGACACATACACACACACACACAGACACACAGACACACACACACAGACACAGACACACACACACACACACACACACACACACACACACACACACACACACGCCGAAGAGTTCAATACAGAACGACCCAAGCAAGCAACACGCTGTACCAGAATAGCATGAAACTCCACCCTAAAGTAGAGCGTGTACTGCTCACTCAGCTTTAGATCAAAGTACCCTGAAAGTCACGACACGGCTCTTTCCAGGGACTGCGCAAACTGCTCATGATGTTGAGCCACGGATGTGGCAAAGTCGGGGGGCATGGAGGTAACGTGTTTTGTCACACAAAAACAACAAACAATCAACCAATCAACCAATCAAGCAACAAACAGACAAACACACACACACACAAATACCAGCTTTGTTTTGGTTGTAGAGCCGTCGCGTGGGAGACAAGCTAATGTACAAGTATAACCAATGGCGCAAAAAGGCAACAAGTGCGGACTGCAACGACGATACATGGTTCAGCCTCAGTCAGACATGTGCAGATAAAGGAACATCGGGCCGTGTCCGCCTGCATGCGCGGGAATCCAAACTCCGCATGAAGCTAATGCATAACTGATTTTGACATTGTAGTTGCAGGGAACTTCATGAGGTGCTGATATCAATGCTGCACATATTACATGTGCATGCATACTTTCATACACTCATGCGATGCGCATGCAAAAGCATACATGCAGACGTCGGTATGCGTAGGCGCCAGCTTTCACGCAAAGGATCCATGCCTCACGAGGACATACATACCCTGCTTATGGATCGACAAACGGCAAAACATAACACATAGGTACCTGTATCTATGCATTCGTGCTTCAGGCTTACAGTAGGCACAATGGTCTGGCCGTATAGATAGATCCCGATTATCTGTCTGTTTCAAACGATGTCGCTTCGGTTTCTACTCCCTAGCTCCTGGACGGCGAGTCTGCACAGCCTGCGCCACGAGGGCTTCAATAGGGGATATGTACGGACATCGAAAACAGAACCATGACACCTAAAGACCCTGCATGGAGCTTGCGGTGCCCGGGTTCGATTTCGTTGTCCCGAACGGACGGAAGCAAGGAATGCTCCGATCTGTTTGGGGGACAGGTGCTATGCTGTCGGAAGCTACGTAGTAAACGACAGGAGCAGAGTTAACAAGACAAGCGTGAATAACCAGACCTGAGTTTTCAGGGTTCCTACACCAATAAAGATGTTAGCGAGAGCTTTGAGGAGCCGCGGACGATGTTCCTAGTTGCTAGTGATTCAGGTCCTTGCGCTACCATGCCATCTGTCCATGTCAAGAGGTGTGCTTTGCTGCTCGAGAGAGACGTTTCTTCGATGTCGGTGTCTTATCCCTTTCTGTTGAGGCTCGGGCTCCGAAGCCCGGCGAGAGGAACCAGGCTCTTTCTTCGGCTCTTGGTGAGGTTTTGGGGGTGCTTCAGGGCTTTAGGCCCTTTAGGCTTTGCCTTAGGGCCTTAGGGCTGGGGCTTGCCGAAGTGAAGGCCTGGGCTC